CGGCTAAAAACATAATCCACCTCACTTAGGGACTGTTTTGTTTTCAAAAATATGAATTGTAAAATTAATGGTGGTTGAGATTTTTAAACTGATGTTACAGCTTCTGGACTGAGGATTTAGCTTGGCTCTTTTCTAATATAATTTCAGGCTTTCCCATTTCCTCTCTCTTTTCAGTGGCTATAAAACCAGTCATCCCTCTCCCCCGCCTGTGGCAGGTGAAGTATATCCCACAGTTTCCATTTATAATAAGTGTCTGTTCTCACTTTCCCCTCCTGAGCACAATGAAGCGCATCTCTATATTTCCCGCTCTGATCTCAGTGCTCTAATTTCTCCTCTTTGAGCTCTATTGTTTCTCTCTCTCTCTCTCTGACTCTGAAGGAGCAGGGTTGAACTTTCAAACTTGTCACCAGAATGACTTTCATGTGCCCAAGTATTTGTTTCGTCCTTTGAACTGCAAAAATAAACTATTATAGGTTGTATCTATAAACCATTATACCTTGACAGTGATAACTCATTGTACCGATACGTTTGGGCAGTGCTTTGCGTTTGTGCAGCATCAGCCATTTAGATTGGGGAATGGGTAACCTTTTTGTGTAAATTGATACAGTTGATGTGTGAAAATGGCTTATAATTCCTGTTTTCATGCAGTATCAGCCACTGCTGCTTGTGTCAAGCCGTAAGAAGAGCCTCTCAGGCAGTTGTGAGGGCTTTCATCTCCTGCAGCAGACTGTCCTTGTGCAGGTTTTAAGAGTCTTCAGTCTCTCAGTGGTCTGTCACCAGCTCCTTCCTTAGGTCAATGTGATATCAGGCAGTCTGCAATCACTTTGGGTTACAAATCCACCAAAGGTTTAAAATCACCGCTATAACGTGCATGATTTTCAGAGGGGTTGATGTATCTTAAAGGAATATTTTGAGACTTAATAAACTTTTTGCAGAGATTTGCATAGAAGCCTGATCCCAATCTAACTGCCAACAGTTAGCTTAGCACAAAGACAAACAACAACCCTGGCTCAGTCAAAAATAAATGTAGCTACTCTAACGTGTTGTGTGTTTGTGCTCAGACTATTGGCCAGTTGTTGAGGTCTTTTAAAAATGTGGTTTATTTGTTTGTCTGATTGGACGCCGTTTTCCAAAGGGTTTAAATGAATTGACAAGATAATAAGCACATTTTTAGCCGCCTGTACTCACTCGTACAAATGGTGTTTGCTTTGCCCAATCACAACTTCATTGGCATAATATACAGTATGAAGTTTTTAATTTCAGTGCAAAGGGAACCAGACTTATACAAATGTTGGCAGGTGAGTGTACAAGAACAGAAAACAAATTAAACTTGAATGAATGTGGCTCCATCAAAGACAAATTAAATAAAACTTTTAGCTTGTTTCCTTTATTTTTTTAATGATGTCCTCGGGCTCTAACACAGTCTCTGTCTCCCTCCACAGAAAGCAAACACCCTCCAAGGCAATTTTGCAGCTGTATTCAGAGCTGTGTTGATGCTATTGATGATCATGGTGGGACCATTTCTATGCGGCATCCATTTGGGTAAACATGCTGTATAAGGAAACCCATTATGTCTCTCTTTATCTTTAATTTCTGCTAGCCCGACACTGCTGGCTCCCTATTTAACCCTACATATAATTGATTTGTATTTCTATTAATCACAATACTACAATTACTACATTCCCTTGCTCATTTGTCACCCAGGTATTGATCGCTATTGACCTCAAAATGTATGATCACTGATGTACTTCTATAGGAGGCAATCTTTGGACCCACACCATGTAACTCAGGAGGCATGTGGCGCAGTGGATAGAGCCTTGGTGTTGGGATCAAGGGGGTTCAAACCCCACTGCAGTCAGCATGTCGTTGTGTCCCTGGGCAAGACACTTCACCCCAAATTTCTCCTGTGATTGCCCACAGAATTGAGTAAGTCTAACAAGTGTTGTAATGTAATGTAACTAGGGGCTGCGAGGGGTGGTGGGTTTCACCCCCGCTACCGTCCTGTCCTCTCCTCTGGGAGGGTTCATTGGTCAGCAGCTTGGGATCAGGTGAGGTCTCCGGCGTTACGGATACTGTGAGTCAAGTTAGGGCTCAGGTGATGGTAGATTCAAGTGACAGCTCACATGTGGACGGGACTCAGACCGAGGGTGTCCTCTCTGTAGAGGGGCAACATGGAGGAAGTCTCAAGCCTTTATTACCATGACGGTTTCATATCTGTTGATGTATGTGATACAGTACATTTTCCCGGAATCTCTCAAATCTTTGGCTTTCTTCCTGAAAAAGCAAATCATTGATGCTAAATTACCTTGTGAGATATTAAATTGTGTATTGCTATATAATTTGCACACACACATATATTACACAATTACTCAGCCAGTTCTTCACAGCGACATTGCAGTCATTTTAATTGTATTACCCTGTTCATGACATTCCCATTATTTCTCATCTAATATGGTCTAACATTAAACTTGCTCACATCAGCATGTGAGAATTTTCATACTGATGTTAGCTTTTAGTTATACAGCCTAAAAACCCCCCCGTATGGTTTTGCTATTTACAACTTTGGTTATATTTTGTATGTTTTGGTCATCATTGTAATAAGTTATAATAATTTTGAAATAAACCTTTATTTTCAGTCATGTTACTGTGGGAAAGAATATACATTTAAAACTCAATTGCAGGTGTTAAGGCTAAGAAATGTTACTCAACATAAACCCCTTTATGTATGAATTCAACAAAATAAATATGTGTTGATTAATGAGCTATAGAAGCGGTGGTATGGGGATTTTATAACCTAAACAGGACAAAGCCCTGCCTGCTGTTTGCAGTCAAAAGCTCACATGCAGCTGGCTTTAGTTTCACATTTACCCTTAGATTAAATTAAGAAACAGGAAAAATAGTTAATGTTCAACCAATGAAGCTACAAGGCAGCAAACGTAAGGCTCTCTTGCATAGCAGCCTATCAGTTGTATAGGATGACAGTTAAAAACGTTCCTCTGCTCCCACAGATGTCATCAGGGACACTTGTGTGTGTGGCTGTGTGGTTAGAGCTCCCCCCTGTGTGTCCTTTTGATATTACAGTTCATGTAAATGTCTACAACACAGATCCTCTTCGCCATACCTGCAGTGAGTCTCCTCAAAATCAGACACTGTAATCACAAGTAGTCCAATGCATATTTTATTTATTTAGTATTTTAAGAGTCAGGTCTCTGTACTGTAACAAGGCCCTCATTGTAATGTTCATTATCTGTTCACCAATTCATTAATTATGACATCTTACTTTAGTGTATGTATAACTTGTGTGTTATTGACCCTCAGCTGTAGTATCAGCTCGTTCTCCATTGGAAATACAAACTCAATCGTTTAAATCATTTGAATACCATTGCATTATCAGCTGGATAGGCGTGTTATGAGCTGGGGAAGCTTCTCCCTTCTTAGTGGAAAGCACATTAATATCTTGGTGAAAGTTGAAATATTTGTAACCACTTTTTGGCTGTGAGTGAAGTTGAAAGTCCTTGAGATTAAGACATTTGACAGGGCTCCAAATTGCTTCAGAGTTTCTGAGGATGCCGTACAAATCTGGAAAATTAGGGAGTAAAAACTCAACAACAAAAAAACTTGATGGGCACCAAATTATGATCACAATCACCAGGTCATAAAGTACAAAATCCAATACTTTAGCCTGAACAAGTTAGGTTATATCCCACTGAGAGGACTTTAAATGTAGCAATTACATACGTCGTACAGTTTATTAAATGCCATTATAAAACTTAGCGGTCAAATGTATTAAATCAGCCACATGAACAATGCAGCACGAGTAACAACAGTTGCTTTACTCTCTTTTTTACTTGTCTTTTGCGTATTGTTTTTGGGTGGTTGAGTCCTATGTTGTACTCTGACAGGTGAGACTGTGTTCATCTTTGTCCTTGGTTATCAGTGGGGTCTGCATGTTTAACCTCCGGCTAAACAGATAAAACATCCATTGTCCAGTTGCAAAAACGTCAGCACAAATTGGATTGTGTTTGCATTGTGTGTTTTTGTATAAGCAATGTGTGTTCACCTGCAACTTAAGTTTACTGCATGACTTATATGACAACTGTCTGATATTTGACTTACTATCATCACAAAATGCATGTTATTATATATTAAACAACCCACAAATACAGGTGTTTACACCATTGAGTTAGTTATTATAACCCTTTTCTTATGATGTATAATCATATGAGTAATTAGAGTGTATGCCTACTGTATAAAGGGCAGTTCATGTAATATATTGATGCAAACACATCCGAGCCAACCAGAACTGACAGTATAGGATCAAATATTCTGTTGCAGTGGTAAAAACGACAGTTGTAAAAAAGACTAACTTTTTACATAAAACATTGCACTGCAAACAGCAAACTGTGTCTCCTCTCCAAAGCTTTATGAATATAGTCTTTAACAGAAAACGTTCCCTTGCCAAAAAAGAAAGTTGTTATCACTATCCAACAAGAAGAACTTTTGTGGCCTTTAAATTATAAGATAATGAGCAATAAAACAAATAAATAGTCCTCAATCTTTCCTGACTAACATTGATTATTTTCTGTCCACGGAGATGATGAAACCTTTATTTTTCCATAACTGTTCACACTGATCTTTGATTTGTGGTCTGCTCCACATATGGCTATGATGTTTTCAATGGGGCATACATGAAATTTCGATACTTTAAGTATATGTTGCTGACGATACATCTGTGCGGTGCAGCTTTCAAACAAACTCATAAAAAATGCATGCTCCAAACATCTGAACTGTTGTTTTGATGAACACCGCGGGGTCACAGCGGGTCTGACTCATCGGGAACTCCTTGGTATTACGCAGGCTGCAGCCACGACACATGTGTGCGCCTCTGATAACACAATCTGCATGGTAAAAGCGAGATGTCTTGCAAGACGAGTGCGTGACAAATTCAACAGACAGAAGCCGGATGAGCGCGTAAGGCAGTCGTTTACCTCGCCAAAAAGCCAAAAGGTTACAGGGAGCAGTGCCAACCTGCGTACGCTAAGGGAAAGATAAAAACACGTATGTACACGCCTACAAAATAGTAAATAGAGTAAATTTGACCATTTCAATGCTGTTCTGATGACTGGCCGCAAAAAGTGCTGAGTGGCAGACCGCAGTTGCATGTGAACACACAGAGCATCAGCAGGCTTCGTCTAAAGTTGACAGGACGCCATGGATAAACTACCCAGCATCCCCTCTGAGGAGCCCAGGCTGAAGAGAGACTTTGACCAGATGTGAGTCCATTTGATTTAGATCAATATGATGCCTTACACGGGTATACTGTACCTCTAAGCCCCAATGCTTTTAATATCAACTTAGTTATTAACAAACTAACAAAGTGGAAAGGAAACGTTTTTTTTAATCTGTGACTGATTGCTCTGGTCTGGAAAGCTTAATTAACAAGTAACCAACCTATAATTAGGCCTATCAGTGATTGTGATGTTATGTTGAATGTTTTTTTTTGTATGTATAGTGTCCATATTGATGTTACAAATGGAGCTGCTGCGATGCAAGTCAAATATCCAGACTTGATCTGACATTAAAGTATTATTGTATCGTATTATTAATCAGCCTTGTATTTTCACAAATCACTTTCCTCTGAGGCTTTGCCCCCCATCACTTATATGATTTAATCAGCAGGTACTGTAGCTACCGCTGTCCAGTAGACACTTTTGAGTCAGTAACACTTGCTCCACACCAGCCTTTAGGTGCAGGATTGATCACAGGAGTAGCATCCTCATAGCTCAGCAACAACACACTTACAAAACAAGAGCTTCCAGGTAAATTATTTACAGCAACCCTATATGTATGAACTGTCAGGGAGGGTTGAGACTGAAGGTGCTGCATATAGCCTCTGTGACTGTCAGGGTGTCGCTGATAAAAGATAAGCATCTGGGAACGGGTGACACAGGAAACCATGTACAGTTACACAACAGTCTGTAAAAAGTTATTCCTGGATGCTTTTATTTGTAATTTGCACTCATTTAAAACAACGGTGGAGATAGTTGAGGGTAATGATAACATCTTCACTCACCACCCAGCTCTGTAGAAGCAGGAAAAAGAGGCCAGGACCTTAAACTACAAGATACACAAGGTAGACAAGTCCTGAAATTCAAGTTCCCGTGATGGAAAAAAATACCGATTGAGAAACCATGAGTAAACCTGATAATGTCGCAACTTTAAATCAACAACCAAAAGGTCTTCTCACCTTAGATGAGCATTCCCCCTCAGGCCCACATGTACATAACCTCTGGAGGAACATATGCAGACTTCATCTGTAGATCCCCAACAGATATAGATGTGAAATATTCCTCGTGTTTTTTGCTCCGACATGTTTTCCTGATCATGTGTCTGCAGAATTCAGCTGTGTTGTGTTTGATCTCAGGGTGTTCATCAACAGAAACCTGACGCTGGAAAACATCCGATGCTATGGATTTGACATGGACTACACGATGGCCAGTACGTAACAGTAACACCTTTGTGTGTGTGTGTAAAATGTTGTCACCATGAGGATGTTATGAATCTGTATTCTGTCAGTATATATAACATATTGTGTTTGTTTGCAGTGTATAAGTCTCCTGACTATGAGAGTTTGGGCTTTGAGCTCTTAAGAGACAGAATGGTGTCTGTCGGATACCCTCATGAGCTTCTGCGCTACACATACGACCCCAGCTTCCCCACTCGGTTAGTTTTACATCAATTCGTGCAACAATAAATATATCATTTTATCTGACATTGTATGGAAACATAAGATGAAAAGAAAAAGGGATTTTTTATTTATTTTGCCTCTGGAACAGGATTGACTTGGTTTAAAAAAAAGAACTAGGAATATGTCCAATTGACAATTATTAATCAAAGGAATTTCTTTAAATAATTTTAAAAAATGATACTGTCAGGATCTTGAATATACCTTGTGTGTATATATTATTTGAGTCCATAATTACAATCTGTGTAGGTCTTCACATTACAATGGCATTACTGCATTAAAAATGATAATTTGTTCAAAATAAGCAAAAACTCAAAGATGAAACGTTAGGTCAGTTAATTGATAAGTCGATTGTCATAAAAAGAATTGGCAAATATTGCGATTATTGATTAATAATTGAGGAACCATCAAGCAAAAAGGACGACCATTTCCAACATAACATCGCCTTGGGCTTGAGGAAACTGGATGGGCATTTTTTCAATTTTTAACCTTTAAAATATAATCAAATCCCCCCTAGACATATTTAGCAGACAAGTTGTTAATGTCACGTCTTGATACCTTTGTTCACACATCCTTTTCGTTTTTCCTAAACATCAGCGGTTTAGTGATCGACACCAAATACGGGAACCTCCTGAAGGTGGACTCCAACGGGAATATTTTAGTCTGCAGTCATGGCTTCACCTTCCTCAATGGGTAAAGAAAAAATCTTATCATAATTACAGAAATGTTAAATTGATGTTTTATTAGTGAAATCTGACCTGTAAACCCAGGCTCAGGTGAGGTCAGACACTGAGACAGCGCATGTGTAACATTGACCTTTCTTATCTTTGTGATCCATAGAGAAGACATTCAAAAATACTACCCCAACAAGTTCATCCAAAGAGACGACACCGACCGTTTCTACATCCTCAACACTCTGTTCAACCTCTCAGGTACTAAATGCACTTGTAAAAAGGTTGAAATATGGGATTTTTGCTTAATCGAAACCCTTAAATTATCATTTCTTTGCATTTAAACTAAATTACTAAACAGAAGTATGTTTATACATGATATCAGTGTTCACTAACTGACCCTCCATGCACTCTGCAGAGACTTACTTCTACACCTGCCTTGTGGACTTCTTCACCAGATGCTCCAGATACACAAAGTAAGTGTTGTTGACTTCATATGTTTGATAATTCCTCCTGTTTCTTCCTCTGATTAAATTAAGAAGTGAATCCTTTGTCAAACTCTTTCTCTGCTGTTTCAATTATTTCAGCCTTGAGAAAGGTTTCCAGCACGGCGACTTGTTTATGTCCTACAGAAGCATGTTCCAGGATCTTCGAGACGCGATGGACTTCATTCATGATACGGTGAATTTAATTAACATATCCCTTATAGAATATGTAGAATTGTGTGCCATTTTCTCTAAATGTTTTTGCTGTATCCATTTGCTGTTTAGGGAGCCCTGAAGGGATGCACTGTCAAGAATCTGGAGAAATATGTTATCAAAGATGTGGGTAAACTTAACGAATATGCACAGATTTGTTCAAATTAAAGGTTGAAATGTATAATAAATTATTGTTTCCTTACAGCCAAATCTCCCTGCACTCTTAACCCGACTCAAAGTGACGGCCAAGGTCTTCCTCGCCACCAACAGTGACTACAGCTACACTAAGGTGAGCCAAAGTTTAGATACACTAAACGTTCAATTACATGAAATAAGAGTGAAGACATTAAATGCTTTTTTCTTCTTCTTTATCAAGGCTATTATGAAATACCTGCTTGAAAGTAATGTTAAGGTAATACGGTTTAGCTTTTCTTTTTAAATATTCAGAAGATATTAAGTGGATTATGTAGATTTAACATGACGCTTCATTTTTAGTCTGGAAATGAAAAGGAGTCATGGCGCTCGTACTTTGACCTCATCGTGGTGGACACTAAAAAGCCTCTGTTCTTTGGAGAGGGGACAGTGCTGAGACAAGTGGACACGGTATAAAAAAAACATCTTTCATATTAAAGAGTTACATGGCAGTGTCAATGAACTGAGCAGGCTTTGGTAATATGTTGTATTTAATGCCTAGAACACAGGAAAGCTTCGGATCGGGACGTACACCGGAGACCTCCAACATGGAACAGTGTACTCCGGAGGTGACGTTCATTTACTTGTTTGTATTTATTCACTATTGTTTTTTTAAAATTCTTATATGAAATATACTGAAGTAATAAATAACAATGGATTTTTACAGAATGTTTTATTTTGAAAGTCCTATTCATCTATGTTGTTGGAATTGTACTCTTTTTCTTTTCTTTTTCAAGGCAATTTAATTTACTTTTATTTGCTTAATTTATTGGTGGTGTTAACCTTTGTAAAATAGCTTAAACAATGCTTTAAACGTTATCTCCTCACTCCTTATTCATAACGAATATCCTTTATTAGCTTATTTAGCTGGTTGAGATTTCTATTTTCTATCTATGTGAACCCAAACAGTGATCATTTTGAAATGACCTTCTAGAAATGTCAAAGAGTAGAAGTCAAAAAGATGAAGAAGGTAATTAAATATGTAAATGCTATGAATTCAGTGGTTCGATTTTTGCTGTTCATTAGGGGTAGTGTTTATCATTCATTATTAAGCCCTTTGTTTACTGTTTGCAGGCTCTTCAGACCTCATCAGCGACCTGCTGGAGGTCAAAGGTAAAGACATCCTTTACGTTGGCGACCACATCTTTGGCGACATCCTGAAATCTAAGAAGCGTCAGGGCTGGAAGACGTTCCTGGTCGTACCGGAGCTCAACAAAGAGCTGCTCATCTGGGACAAGAAGCAGAGTGAGAACAAATAGAAACATTGTGGTTGGATTGAGGTTGTTTCCAAGCACTGATGATTATTTTATTTATGCAGGTATGTTTGAAGAGCTGAAACGTCTCGACTTCTTCTTAGCTGAGCTCTACAAGTGAGTTTATGTCCATCTGTTTTTAAAACATAGAGAACAGACGAGTCATAATGTGTTTAAAGGAAAACAAATAAGTGTTACACTAGACTTCATGAATTTGTTGAGTTTTTTGTTTTAAGCTGCAACACATGACATCACTTACTACATTTTGGAAACATTGTTGCCATGACATCAGGATGTTATTGTTCATAGACATGGGTTGCGGTCCAATAGTCCATTTAGCTTAGGAACCTTCCTAACCAAGTGAAATTACCCGGAAGTACGTCAGTGGCAGCCATGATAAGTGCTGTTCCAATGATCTATGATAGGAAAGGAGGTTTCAAACTTCCTTTATAACCTCCTTTAGCTTAGGAACCACTGGACCTTCCTTACCGAAAGGAGAGGAGAAAATGCTGCCCCACAATGCCTTGCAGCCGCAGCATTTGCCGTCACACAACAGTCGGCCGTTCACGGAAACAAACGATTATGACGGAGAAATTATATCATGAAAGTTACGGTGCTTATTAAGCATTTTAAAACGTATGTGGTAAGTTGCCAAAGTGCTTTGTTTTGAACGTTCATCAGTATTATAATCAAAAAGAGAAATATGAACGTTAGTTTTTACTGAAATGATCAAATAAAGTCAACATTTCACTGAGCTGTGTGGGGTTTGTTCAATTTTTAAAAGATGTTTGAATGGTGATATACACAGTACTAGATGTTAAGGACTAAAGTTTATAATAAATACATTTGTATTTATTTTAAGATCTTTTCATACAATCATACGTATTGGGATCATTTGTATTAATGTGGACCGGAGGGAGAGGGTGACGAGCATAAATTTCACTTTCCTTTTTTATTTCAATTACAACTTTGGTCATGAAGAATATGTTTCTCTGTTGTCCACGTTCATAAAGCATAAAACAACAGCATCAGAGCACGGTGCAGAGTCTCTAGATGAGTTTACAGTAGTCCCCCGTTCTTATTATACATCCATGTTGTAGTCCGCTGTATAAACTGTAGTTTCCATAGTTTCACCACAGCAGCAGACGCACATTTATGACGTCCGCTGGCGCATCATAAACAAGTTGGATTCGGATTCTTTAAAGTACTCTCCTAAGTCCTTTTGAATTCTCCTATCCACTATCCCTTAACTCCGTGACGTTTCACTCAGAGGTCAAGGGATAGACGATAGGGTTAGACGTTAGGAGCTGATTTTTGGACTGTTGGACCGCAACCCTGGACCGATGTAACAAAAATGGTAAACTCTTTTTTCCCCTGTGTTGGTTGTCTGCAGGCATCTGGACAGCGGCAGTCAGGAGTGTCCTGACATCATTGCCATTCAGACCAGAATGAAAGTGAGCTCTTCGTATTAAAACACATCTACATTTTGTAATTCTTCAAGTTTTTTCTGGTAGTTATAGATAGATGAAGGACATGGATGCACCATGTTGTTAATTAAGTTGCTCCTACATTGAAGGGTTTAAATAAAACAGCAACACTGGCTTTAGAAATACGTAAGCACATTTAGGCTCTATTTGGATGACGGATATAAAGATGTTGTCTTAATAAAAGCCCAAATCTATGGGTTGGAAACTTCAGTAATCTATAATCATAAACAACATATGAAATAAAGGGACATGTGTTGGTATTTGTACACTGCAACAGAATAATCATACCCAAATTATTCTTAGCCTTAGTTTTGTAGTGTCAAAAGCCAAGTAATCCTGCATCGTTGGCGCACGTTTAAGACCAGAAAAGTCTTCTAAAAACTTTGTGGATGATCGTATGCAACAGAATCCAAAACCCTGATGACTGGTATGATAGCCATGTGTGTTTCAAATGTATTATTACCCTCTGTCAAGGTGTTTGTGCTGATGTTGCTGGTGTTCTCAGGTGCTGACTCACAGGATGGACATGTCCTACGGTCAAATGGGCAGCCTCCTGCGCAGCGGCTCCAGACAGACGCTGTTTGCCAGCCAGATGCTACGTTACGCAGATCTTTACTCTGCCACCTGCCTCAACCTGCTGCACTACCCCTTCAACTACCATTTCATGGCCCCCCCAGTCCTGGTCAGTCCTCACACACACCTAATATGTAAAGAATATTTTGAGAAAAATGACATTAATTATAAGCCAAATTAAAAATAAATATGTATTCAGCTGTTCTCACAAAGCCCACATCTGTAATAGCTCTTAGTAGGGTATTACATAATTGTGAGGCACAGTTATAAAAGTACTGCTGCCTATTTTCTTGAATTTTAATTGTGTGTGTTTAGAAACCTAGCAGCGGCAGAAGGATTATAAAATGACAGTCTGTAATGTAGGCCAGTGTAAACCATTAATGACTTTCAAAACAAGAACAAGAACCTTAAAATGTGTCAAAAAAGATATGTGGAAGCAATGTCGTGGAGCTTAAACTACACCAGTCTTTTCTTCAAATGGAACAGACCAATAAAAAGGACATTGCAATAATGTAATGTATTTGAAATAGAAGCATGAAAAAGTTTTCTTGAATCTTTTTTAGGATGGCTGTACTATTTTGGCAAAGCTTCTGAAGCGATAAAAAGCGTGTTTGATCCCCTTCTTTGTCTGTTGTAAAATTTATTTTTTCTAAATAGTTTTTCATCTGTTACATCTCATTCTTATTCCTAAACTCTCTCAGATGCCCCATGAATCTGTGTTGCAACAATCGACTGATTTCGCTTCAACGGAGCTCACCGTCACCAACAACATTGTCAAGATGACCAGAAACTAAGGGTATTATTATTAAATATGATGCATTATTATGTACTTGATTTTCACAGAATTCTGCTAATATGTTATTAAAATGTCTCTCTCTCGCAGAGCTAAGAACAGCTGTGATGTTTCAGAAGAAGATATACAGAGAATATCGTGTCTCTGCATGTCATGGACACAGAGTGACTGTTTGCACCTGAGCTTGTATAAAGAGTTTGATGCAGCCTTGAAGTGACTCAAAGAAAACTAACTTATTGCCCCCCCTAGTGGATATGAAGTGCTATGCAACAAGCTCTTAGCAGACTCAGGGTTCTGACTGTTTGTGTGTTTGTTTGTATACTATTATGTATGTACATACATGTAGTGTTGCATCTGCACTTTTTATTTGTGTCATTATTTGTAATAAGTATCTTTATTTATGTTTTGTTTGTGAAACTTCGGCTGAGCCATTTCAATAAATCGTTTATATCATTTGTTTTTATCGGTTTTATTTAAGATTTTTTTATTTTTTTATTAGAGGACATGCAGACAGACAATTCTCAAAGAGACTATTTGTTTGTTAGGAAGTAGTTCCAAAGAAAATTGCTCCCAAAGAAGTAAACTCAGAGTAACCAGGTGTCTACAAATAAACATTGCTGTTGAGTTTTTCCTTTTTAAAGAGCCTGTGGGCACCAAATAAAATGTATCTTGCGATATAATTGGCATTATCTGAGGAACACAAAAATAAAACCTGGGCAAATGGAACCAGAACTAAAGGAACTAGAAGCAAGTTAGTTAAAGTTTGATTTAATTATTTGGATAAGCTTACCCTTTAAAGCTATCTGTCTGTATTGCACCTGTTGTCCATGTGATGGCAGTGAATCACCAACAGACTCGGGTCCTGTGTGTGTGTGTGTGTGTGTGTGTGTGTGTGTGTGTGTGTGTGTGTGTGTGTGTGTGTGTGTGTCAACTGGCTGAACAACTGAATATGGCAAGCTAAATATTTGATTTGACAAAACAATTATCCATCTTTTTCTTCTCAATGACATGAATCATTGTTTTACCAATTAAATACAGTCAGAAAACATCCGAAAAACTCATCTGTAAATACAACAGTTCATCTCCTTGAAGGCGAAACTGATGCAGGTTTATGTATATATCCCATCTTAATGAAAACTAATCTTATTTTGCTGTTGTCATAGTGGAAACACACACCTGTATAGTATTATACACACAATCTGTATCTTCCTTCTCGGCTCTGAGAGTGCTGCTCCCACGGGAGGCCAACCTTTATCAAGAGAGAGCTCAGAGGAATGTGTTGTCTCTCTCTCTCCCTCTCACACACACACACACACACACACTATGTATCTTCCTCAAAGTATCAGATTATGTGATCATATATAACTTGGAAATTATTTATTGATGAGTGTTCTTGCAGTTTCTCCTGTTTTCCTGCGTTGCGTCTATCCAGAGCTACACATTTCACTCAGCAGAGAAGCTGATGCAAACATGCTATCATGCTGTCTCATGTTGGATTTGATCTTGCCATGGTATAATTCATTGATTGTTCGAGCAACTATAAGGAGGTCTTCACATGGATCGTATAATCTATTAATAGTCAAACTGTTACACTTTCTAAGAAAACCTAACATGCAAATCCAAACCAGGAGCCCCACTTTCTGGCACCTCCCCCCCACAAACACACAGGCACAAAGGCACACAGACACACACACTTCCTAGATGATTTCATTTCCTGTATTAGGTCTATTTCAGCTCATTTGTGTTTCCCTGGTCATTGTCTGCTTGTCACCTGGATTGTTATTGTACCTAGGCTTTTATTCATTTTACACAATTTGTCACGTTTTATTTTATCACCTGCTCAGATCTTCAGCTTTCATCAGTTCCTATTGTTGTTGTTCTTAAATATCTTCTCCTCAACATAATATCACACTTTGTACATAAACTAACCTTTTAGATATCTGATTTTAAATGAAACATACAGGGAAGTCCCCACCCTCCACTTTTTTAATAATATATAATTTTATCAGTGAATAATCAACATTTTAACCTTTAGAATGAATGTAGTCATATCTTTGATTTAGAGGTAGCCTGACTCCAGACCAACCGCTCAGTGGGGATAGCCAGGAAATGTGTAGGCTTTGTTTCTAAATGTAATCCTTTAACAATTGTTGCGAGAACCTGCAGGAAATAACATGAACTATATCCTATGCCTGCTGGTGATATTTAGTGTGCAAACAAGTCTGTCTTGCAAATTCTTTTGACAAACACACACACACACACACACACACACACACACACACACACACACACACACACCTATTCTTGCTCTGCGACCCCTCCTTCCTCTCCTTTAGGCAACACACACACACACCTATTCTTGCTCTGCGACTCCTCCTTCCTCTCCTTTAGGCAACACACACACACACACACACACACACACACACACACACACACACACACACACACACACACACACACACACACACACACACACACACACACACACACACACCTATTCTTGCTCTGCGACCCCTCCTTCCTCTCCTTTAGGCAACACACACACACACACACACACACACACACACACACACACACACACACACACACACACACACCCCTGTACTGAAGAGGTGTGAAAAGGCAGTTTCTCTGTGCTGCTGTTTAGAGTTTCAGCAACATTGCATTCTGTAAAAATATTTGATTGATTTAAATACAGTAATTCACACCTTCTATAATTATAGTATTACAGAGATGGGGATTTGTGTTGAGGATGTCATTTCATTAGATCACAAAACATCAGGAAACATTTATGTAAATGACATCAAAGTCAACCTTATGTTTCAGAGGGAGACACTGGGTGCTTCACTGCAGTGAGAGTTGCCAAATAAATGTCGACAATAATATATATTCTATTCTATTCACCTCAAATATAAAGTTATGGGTGGCAACAAGTCAGTATTTTCATATTATATTCGAATATAGGAATTACAAATATTCTATTTTGTGGCTTTTTATTTATAAAGCCAAAGATGTATGCTATTCATTTTCACAGAAGACAACATTCCTCTTTGCTAACTTGTGACTTTCTCATTCAATTTCACTTTATTCAAATTCAGTAAGATTACCCTTTTCAGCATGATATGACAGAGAAGTACAAACACTCTGTATCTGCTCTCTCTCAACCTCTTTGTCCATAATGATGAAAATATCCAAATTCTATGTTTTTCTTTTAAGCTGTTTGGCTTAATCAATCAGAGGTATGCAAGTTACTATTTCTAATTATTATTTCTAATATATCGTCAAACTCAATATGCAAATTCTGATTAATATCTGCACTTTGGTTGTCTTGGGAAACTAGAAGTGAAAATACAGTTGAACTAAGTATGGCTATGCATTTTAAGTTTACAAGAGTAAATTCCTGTATTAAGAGGTAACAACAAAACTATTATTAAGTGACATCAGTGTGTTAAATCACACTCATTCACACTGTGTTGATACATTTACACTACCTTTTCTACTGCGAACAGGCCGTGATCGGGCCTGAGATTTCAATGTTATTATAGGATATCATTTAATGGAGGAATACATTAATTTTTTTCCAGTTTCATTCATAATGTTCTTTTCTTTTATTCAAATATAAGCCAGGCATTACGTTTTTCAAAAGGCTATTTCAAGTCTGAGAATTTTTTTTATCTGATAGCCAACCATTTTTTTTAAAACATTATTTTCTGCCCTTTTCATTGTTTTTTCCAAGAAAAATAACAATGAGCAATCGAAAACTTCATTTTATTCATCTTTATTCAACAAAGAAAAATAACAGACATTTCTTACATCAGATAAATCTGTTAGAAAACCACAAAAAGAATTAAAAACATATAACTTTATTTTAGCTACACAATTTTGAACACAGTTTATTACTTTCCAACACATTTTCTAAAGCTAAGTTCATGTATGCTAAAAAGCAAGCTTTATTAGCTACAGTAAAATGAATCCACACCCACTTGTGAACAGCAGGCCTGACACATTTTGAAGGAAAAGACACACAAACATTTGTTTCATGCGTAGCAGTCGGAGCATGTTGTGTTTTATGGACCTAATGAAATACAGATGTCACTAACTCATAAGCTTTTATTCTATGTAGTTTTGTCTGCACATGAAAAGGCTGCCTAAAAGAATCTCCCCTGACATGTTGGGTTTCACTGCAGGATACTTGCTGCTCCATGCAGTCAGATAACTGCAGAAGCACCACCGTCCCCCATTCCACACATTCCAGGATTTCCCAGCAAGCATTGCAAGCAAGCCTAAACAAGTCACGTTCTTTACTCAGGGAGAATTTCACACAGTCAAGTGACCGAGGTCTCTTTTTGACTTCCCTTCATTGTGCAATCACATAAATGCATGTCTTATAAAAATGAAAAGTACTTTTAAAAAGCCACACGATAACACCACAATCTGTCCTTCACTTGAAATGATTATCTGCATTAGTGCACAATAGACTTTATTTTTCGGTTTTTTCTAATTACTCGTTGTGTCCTTCTGCTGAACAGTTAACTGGACTGGTTGAACATTTCCACCCAGAGGTCTGCTGACAGTCATCAAAACAAACAAACCTGTTTACTCTCTTACTCTGTGGTTCAAACACGAGGCACACACAGGAGCAGTGACACCTAATCTCAACACGGAGAGAAAGAAAGACAGAGAAGAGAAGGCCAAACGCAAGGGGGAAGAGAAGGCCTTGCTCCCTACATTCCTCCCAAACCTCCCCTCCCCCCATCGACCTGCTACCACCAAAGATGCTCAAAAACACACATCAACCTCTCCCGCCCACTGTTTTTTCTCCCCCATCTGCTTATTTTACCATCAGCAAACAGATACTCAGTGTTTGGTGTGATGACAAAACAATACACAGGTAAAGAAACTCCCCCCTCCCTTCCAAAAAACTATAGATTTAATTTACCATTTTAAACCGTTCAATTCAGATACCATCAAAGTTGTAGGTGTTAAATGAATTAGAAATGTTTTATTACATTTTCTGGTTTAATTTAAATGTCCCCTCACCTATTGATTCTGAAATTCACTTTAAATAATTAGCTACATTTTTTATGAGATGCTGTGCAAATTAAAAAGGGTGCCTTACTTACAATCAATACACCATCAAACCAGATGGACTGAATCAATATTATAATTTAGGTAAACTCATTTGATCATTTGTTTTTGTCCTTTTCAAATGCACAATTAGAGGTCTAGTGTTAGCCTACAAATGTGAGTAAACAGTTTAGGAGGCTCGCTGTGCACCACCTGCTCTCAGTCACCAGCTCCACTTCTACACAAACTTGTTTGAAATGAGCCTTTTAGCACCAGTTTAGTGTGAGCTGAGGCCAAATGCTATGACAATACTATTGCACTGCTAGAATGGATGGTACAGTAGTGCAACATTGTCAAAGCAGCTGACCTCAGCATGTGTCAGCACGTGGAC